CCCTGAAGCGCATCAGCACAAGGCTGTCTGGCCCGAATTAACAATACAGGTACCTACCACAATCTCACCATTCGCTTCCGAATAGTCATAAATCATCAGAACAGTAACACGAAAGGTTTCGTTTAATCTCTTTTGAGACGGCCATCCCAAGTTGTGTCACCTGCACGACTCGCGCTCGGGTCCCCGCCAAGTATCAAGGCAAGGGTCGCATGGTGGAAGAGTCAGGAGGCAGACAACGTGGCAACGTAAATTTTCGTGTGGAGGATTGTGATTCACAACACCAAAGCTAGTTTCAGAGAAGATTGTTGAGACAATGGGTTGAAGAAAATGATGATGATGATGATGATGCTATCGCTAATAAAACTCCCAAAGCCACCACTCCCATCCGTAGCCGAACTCTGGCGCGGATGCTGGGTATATATGTGGCGCAACTATTATGTACAAAGAATCTGCAGTCCTCCTTATTTTGTACAACCCTGCCGGTCAAAGCCTGTGCTCAAAAACAAAGACACCGTCAGGAAAAGGGGGGAGGAACCGCTTAGAGGCGGCCCTTGTAGCCCTTGGGGGCGAGGTTGACGTTGTACTCGAGCTCGAGGACGGCCTTGGCGTCGCCTTCGAGGGGCTCGAACTTGACGACGAGGTCGTCCTTGACGGCGAAGACGGTGTCATTGGTGACCCACGGGTCGTCGCTGGGGTACAGCTGGGTGGTGCAGCCCTGGAAGTCGGGGTGGGTGACCATGATGTGGATGTGGGCGGGGCGCATGGGGTGGCGGTCCATCATGGTGAGGAGCTGCCACGAGGGGCCGTCGCGGGGGAGCGAGTAGGCGGTGGGGTGCAGGCAGTAGAAGTTGTACTTGCCCTCGGCGTCGGCGCGGAACTTGCCGCGGAGGTTGTTGGGCGACTGGTTCTCGGGGTCCTGGAAGTCGTACTTGCCGTTGGCGGAGGCTTGCCAGATGTCGAAGACGGCGCCGGGGATGGGCTTGCCGGTGGTGATGTCGCGGATGACACCGTGCATCTTGGTGACACGGCCGTTGGGGGGGACGCCGTCCTGGAAGATCTCGCCGCCGAGCTCACGGAAGGGGGCGTTGGGGGACCAGAAGGGGCCGAGGATGGAGGACGAGGTGGGGTCCATGCCCGTCTCGGAGATGACCTTGTGGGCGATCTCATCAACGAGGCTGTGAGGAGCGTGTTAGTCGAGATGCTCTATACCACAGAGAGTGTATTCGGTAAACTTACGACTCGAGGCCGATGACGTCGCAGATGCGGTGGGTCTCGTTGCGGGTCTTGTTGCTCTGGACGTAGATCTCGCCGAGGGCGTTGATGAACTTGACGCCCTCCATCCACTCGGGGATGGTGAGCTCGACCTCGCGGGCGAAGTCGTGGATGTGGCGGATCAGGGCGCCAAGGACCTGACGGTTGCGGGGAGTGGTGTTGGGGCCCATACCCTCAACCACCTGGGCGGTGAAGTTGGGGTCGAAGCGGTGGGCGGGCTTGTCGGAGGCCATTGTGAAGGTTTGAGGGGGTTGGTGTGGTGGTGGTGTGGTGGAGGTGGAGAGTGTTGATATTGATGTAGATGTGTTGATGCTGGATGCTGATGGGAATGGAAAAGAAGACGGCTGGATCGGGGACGAGGCAGAGCTCTTAAATAGAAATCAATCTCGGGGCACGGCAAGGAGGAGGAGGTATGGATGGATGGATGGGTGGATGGATGATGGAGGGAGGGACCTAGGCGGCGGCCGGCACTCGCAACTCGCCTCAACTCGTCCTGCCTGACGTACCGCTGCAGAGTGAGACCATGGATCCCTCGCGGGTTCAGATTCGGGCCAACATGATAGGGCGCGAAGCACCAAGAGGGTGGCATCATTTTCCCCGCCGAGCCCAGTCGGGGTGCAGTCACGGCAGCTTACCGGTCCCATGCCGCCGCAGCGGGAGTGGGGTCGGGGAAGGGGCAAAGTCGGGACAAATTTAGCCCTGGCGATGGGACGGATGGGGGGAGTGTGGAGGAGTGGGAGGGGAGGAGGGGTGGCATGGGTGGGGACTGGGGGCAGGGGGACTGGGGGTAGGGGGGAGGGCCTTGTCTCCATCTGTCTCCAGCAGACAAACACAACCAACAGACAACGCAAGGGACGCCCACACCCATGGGACAGCAAAGTGCCACAACTCGGCCGAAACCCCAGAGCCGCCACTCCCAACTTGCATCTTCCCCCCCGCTAGATCCCCAGGGAACCCCGCTGGAAACCCCAAAGATATTCCCCAGCCAATAGAGAGCGTCCTCCTGGTCAGCGGCCCGCACACTGACAGGCTTCACAGCGTTCCCGGCAGTCGCTTTCTGCTCTCCACGATGCCCGTCCCAGCACCCCGTCCATCCCCTCTCATGAATCTCTCAAAATCGACGGGCGCCCTGCTCATTGGCCGGGCACACCCCCGACAACCCACTGGCCGATCTGCAACCGTTCGATTCCAGCCTTTCAGGCCCGTCCTCACCTCGTCTGGGAGCGTGGCGATGGTGCGAGGAATGGAGCTTGGCCTGGCGCCTGCTAGTCGTGCCTCGCTGCCCCTGGGCCCAGGGGGTGTGCAGCACCCGGGATGAGGCTTTACCCTCTGCGATGTGGGAGGGCGGCGAGCCAGCGGAGTTTCTGGGGCTCTGGGGGAACAAGGTTTTGCGGCAATGCCGGGGTCCGTTTGGACAGAGAAGCGGGCTGAGTGGTCGTCGCTCGCTCGCGTGGAGGAGGCCCTTCGAGGCAGTTGCTCCAATTGCCCGCCTCCAATTGCCCGCCCTACCCACCTCGCCCACACTTCCTCCCACCCTGTCCAGACGTTCTCCCAGAAATCCCGACACGCCCGCCCTTGAGGGCGATCCCACATCTACCGCCGCTGCTCCCGACCCCACACCCGCAATCCCGAAGACCGGGGGGACCGAGGGGGTAAAGATTCTCACAGCGCTGGGCACGGACACGAGCACGCAGCGCGAGGCATCATTTCGTGTCATGGGTGCCGCCAAGACGCAGTGCGCAGAGGGGAAAAAGAAAAAAAGTTGCGACTGCGGGCCAGGCACTTCGAGATCCCAATTCCCGTTCAACACCAAACACACAAAGTTCCAATTGCATCGTACGATCTCTCCTGAGCCGTTTCGTTGTTCCTCGGCAGCTTCTTGTTCGAGTGCGCGCGTGTCCCGTTTGCGTCCTCTTGCCTGCTGTTTGTTTCTCCCCGCCTCAGCACCCCAAGTTCCCGGCTATAGCAGCCGACGTCATCTGCAGCAACCATGCCCCTCCACCACTTGATGATTGGCACCTGGACCCCACCAGGCGCCATCTTCACCGTCGAGTTCGACGACGAGAAGCTCACCCTCAAGCTCGTCAAGCGCACAGAGATCCCCAAGGACGAGCCGATATCATGGATGACCTTCGACGTATGCACGCCGCCGCCGCTTGCAGCCACCCGATAGCTCCTGTTGCGGCCCCAATCGCTCACCATGGCCACAGCACACCAAGAAGAACATCTACGGCGCGGCCATGAAGAAGTGGTCCAGCTTCGCCGTCAACAGCCCGACCGACATTGTCCACGAGGCCTCGCACCCGATTGGCGGTGATCGTACGTCTTTTTCATCTCCGAGACACAATTGCAACTGCAGCTTGCTGACTGGAGACCCTTCCTCTGTTTCTGCCAGCCCTCGCCCCCAGCGCCGAGACCAACACGCGCGCCATCTTCCTGCTCGCGGCCAAGCAGCCGCCCTACGCCGTCTATGCCAACCCCTTCTACAAGCACGCCGGCTACGGCAACGTCTTCGCCGTCTCCCCCACCGGCAAGCTCGAGACCAACATCCAGAACTACCCCTACCAGCCCAACACGGGCATCCATGGCATGGTCTTCGACCCGACCGAGACGTACCTCTACTCGGCCGACCTGACCGCCAACAAGCTGTGGACGCACCGCAAGCTGCCCTCAGGTGAGGTCGAGCTGGTCGGCAGCGTCGACGCCCCGGCCCCCGGCGACCACCCCCGCTGGGTCGCCATGCACCCCACGGGCAACTACCTCTACGCCCTCATGGAGGCCGGCAACCGCATCTGCGAGTATCTCATCGACCCGGCTACCCACCTGCCCGTCTACACCCACCACAGCTACCCACTCATCCCGCCCGGCATCCCCTCGCGCGACGCCGAAACTGGCAAGGGGCTCTACCGCGCGGACGTGGTCGCGCTGACCTTCAGCGGGCGGCACATGTTTGCGTCGTCGCGCGCCAACCGCTTCGACCTGCAGGGCTACGTCTCGTCCTTCCGCCTGCGCGAGTGTGGCAGCATCGAGCGCCAGCTGTCGCTCAGCCCGACACCGACCAGCGGCGGGCACAGCAACGCCGTCTCGCCGTGCGACTTCTCCGACGAGTGGGTGGCCATCACCGACGACCAGGAGGGCTGGCTCGAGATGTATCGCTGGCAGGATGAGCACCTGCACCGCGTGGCGCGCGTGCGGATTCCTGAGCCCGGGTTTGGGATGAATGCTATTTGGTATGACTGAGTGGGGAAGCAGGGCGACAGGTGACTGTACATAGTCGCACCACCATCGCCATCACCACCACCATCACCGGAGGGTGGTTAGGTTAGACTAGATAGGCTTGGGGTGACGAAAGAGACGTTTTTGGGATAGACAAATAAAAAAAAAGAAATAACTACACCCCTCGGGATGCCCTTCGGTACCTGTTTTTGCCTCTTGTGATACCCTCCTCGATATCAGGGCCAGGTCAGCCGTCGGCTGCGTGCATAATCTGCGCATGCCCGGGCGTGGGGGTTGTGAGACACTACGGCTGTGACATTGTTCACATGGGCGGACGGTATCCGGGGTCCACGACAGGTGCGTCGGGCGGGTATGTCACCGGAGGGTTTTGGTGTTCTCGACGTGGATGTCACCGGGAGGTTGGAGACAGACCGAAGGGTGTTGTTGCACAGCGGGTGGTGCGGGAAAGTGCCATACAAAAGACCCTTTTCGCCACTGCACTACCATTAATCGGGATAATAGTATAGTGGTCAGTACTTCTCGTTGTGGTCAAAAGTCACAGCGATCCGAGAGGACCCAGGTTCGATTCCTGGTTATCCCACTCTTTTGCCAATTTGATCTTAGAATCATTTGGAACACTGCCCACTTTCCTTTTTGCTCCTCTTGTTTGCCTACTGTGTACTCCGTAGTAGGGCTTCCTCTACCCGAGGACAGGGAGCCACTGCCTCCGCAACTGGCGCTTGCACACCGTTAGCGTGCTGATAGGGCTGGAGACGAGCAGCCCTGCTGGAGCTCCAACCCAAGCTTCAGAACCAACTCCTCGTCCATCACGAACTACCGCGCAGACACCCGAACACTGGAGGAGCTCCGCAGCTCGAATCTGCCATATATCACCCAGGATAGCACTCCCGGCAGCCTAATATTTCGTTTCCAGACGAGTTTTGCCGTCGTTGGGCCCGTTGCAGTCGAAACGAGGCGATCCACAGTGGTGGGGCTCCAGCCAATCGCGGCGGCGTGGTGAGGCAACGCCAGCGTAATCGCAGCCAGCAACAACACCCCAAGTGCGGGGCACCGAGACAAAGCAGAGAGAGCTACCTCCGAACTGCGCATACAAAAAGCGGGCTACGAAAACGCAGCCGCAGTTCAGTCAAAGCACCTCGGGAAAAATTAAATGCCTGTGGCGAACCCTCACCCCAAGCCTCACACCAGCTTAGCATCCCTCTTCACCAAGCCGAGCACTCTCATTGCCATCTTGATCCTCGCCCTGGCCATCCTCACCAAGCTCACAACCCCGCTGGCCACCTCCCGCCTGGGCGTCCTCCTCAACCACCTCACCCCCCCACCAATCACCACCACCACCACCAGCACCATGACCACCATCTACGCCCGCGAACTCGAAGTCGCCCTCCTGGCCGTGCAACGCGCCTCCCTCCTCACGCGGCGCGTCTTCCTCGACAGCGCCAAGGGCACCGTCTCGAAAGACGACGCATCGCCCGTCACCGTCGGCGATTTCGGCGCGCAGGCGCTCATCCTCGCCGCGCTGCGCAACCACTTCCCGCACGACGCAGTGGTGGCCGAGGAGGAGGCGGTCGCGCTGCGGAATGACGAGAAGTTGCGCGAGCGGATCTGGGGGTTGGTGAAGGAGACCAGGTTGGGGGATGTCGGTGCGGAGGGGTTACTGGGCAAGGAGCTGGTGGATGTGGAGGAGATGATGGATGTTATTGATTTGGGCGGGTCGGCGGGGGGCAGGAGGGGAAGGGTGTGGACCCTGGATCCGATTGATGGGACCAAGGGGTTTTTGAGGGGGGGCCAGTATGCGGTTGCGCTCGCGCTGTTGGAGGATGGGGAGGTCAAGGTGGGGGTGCTGGGGTGCCCGAACCTGCCGGTGGATGACGCGGCGCCGTTGACGGCGGATGTTGGGGACGGCGAGGGGCGCGGGGTGCTGTTCTCGGCGGTGGTGGGGGAGGGCGCGACGAGCCGGCCGCTGGGGACGGACAAGCTCGCCGAGGGGAAGAAGATTGCCATGAAGGCGGTGGAGGATCTGGCGAGCGCGAGCTTCTGCGAGAGCGTCGAGGCCGGCCACTCGAACCAGTCCGAGTCGGCGCAGATCGCGCAGAAGCTGGGCATTACCCGCCCGAGCGTGCGCATGGATTCGCAGGCCAAGTATGGCTCCATTGCCCGCGGGGCCGGGGATATCTACTTGCGCCTGCCGACGTCCAAGACGTACCAGGAGAAGATCTGGGACCACGCCGCCGGCGACCTGATCGTCCGCGAGGCTGGCGGGCAGGTCACGGATACCAAGGGGCAGCGGCTTGACTTTGGGGTGGGCAGGACGCTGGCTACCAACAGCGGTGTCGTTGCCGCGCCTGCTGGGATCCATGCCCAGGTTCTGGCGGCTGTCCAGGAGGTTCTCAAGCTGAAATGAGGGGTTATTCCTTTTTATGGTTATGCGCGAAGCAACCCAACTCTCCCAATAATGTACATACATTTCTATGGCACAGATACAGCAGCCACACAGACACACAACAAAAGTCCGGCGGCGGCGGCGGCGGCAGAGGGGGTAAAACAAAAAAAATGCTGCTAGATGTACAAGATCCACCCCGCGGCGAATCATCTATTTGATCTTCTTCTGCTTCAGCTTGATGGTCTCGTCGTTGACAAAGATGCCCTTGCCCTTGTACGGCTCGGGCACGCGCCACTTGCGGATGTCGGCGGCGAACTGCATGATGACCTCCTTGTCGATGCCCTCGAGAAGCACGCGCGTCGGCTGGGGCGCGCTGCCGCGAACCCCCTTGGGCAGGCCCATCTCGACCGGGTGCGAGAAGCCGAGCTTGAGGCAGACGAACTCCTGGCCCGGGTACTCCTCACGGCCCGGGCGCGCCTCGACCGTCGCCCTGTAGCCGATGCCCACCAGCCGGAGCACCGCCGTGTGGCCCTCGGACACGCCCATGATGTAGTTGTTGAGGTACGCCCAGGTGGTGCCCCACATGGCTCGCTGCGTCGCCTGGTCCCGGTCCTGCACGCTGAGCGCCACCTTGCGCCCCTCGGTGTCGTGGTCGAGTTGGATGAAGTCGGGGATCTCGAGGTCGAGTTTCCCTGGGAAAAGGTCAGTTTTGTGTTCCCCTAGATTGGCTGGTCTCATGACGGGATTGGCGGGGAGTGTGCCAGGGGGGGAAAGGCTCACCCAAAGGACCCGTGACGGTCAACTTCCGCTTGAATGTCCTGAGGTACGACGTGACATCCTTCTTGACGAACAGGTCGCCAATTTCAAGCTCGACGCCGGGCGGGAGGGAGAGCGGTATCCTCCCGAGCTTGGAGGGCCGTTGTGAGGTGGCCGAGAAGGCTCGCCTGCTGCTGAAGCCGGTGGGTTGTGTTGTCGTCAGTGTCGTCGTTGAGGGGGTCTGGAAGGCCGGGACAAGGAAGCTGGGGAGGGTGACGGTCGAGGAGGGGGTGGCGGTCACCGCCCGTTGCAAGGCCTGCCTCCCTATCCTTGGTGCGAACATTGCGGCGACTGCGGACTCGGGAGCCGGCGGCGCGAGCTGTGGGCGGGCTGGGCTCGATGCCGTTGATGCTGCTCAAAAAAAGATCGGGTGTTGCTGCGAGAGCATGATTGGTGGGTCTGGGTGGCAGTTCGGCTTAGTCATCGGGCAGGGGTGTGGAATTGAATGTCAATACAGATACCACCACCACTCTCTCTCTTTGCTTTCTTCATCATCCTGCACTGGGAAGCACTGTCAAGACGGAAATGTTGCAATGGGCGCCTGTGGGAATCTAGGATGACAGACGTTATATTTGATACCACTGGATCTCCAGTCATGGGCATGCCGCCTCTTACAATGTTGATAAACTGCCAAGGACCCAGGAGCATTCCTGGATGTCTCCCTCAGCACAATCATCAATGCTAAACAGGAATTTGCAGTCTTGTTTGAGAGCCATTGTACAGTTTCGTTTATTTCATGACTAGAGTTTTGATGAGCCCCGGCTAAGCTGCACCAGCCCAATTTATGGGGGTTTTGCTATCTGCGTGGTTTGGCGGGTTGGGATGGGCAGTCTTACTGCCTTGAGCTGTCATTGTCAGCCTTTTCTAGTCTAAGATACAGCTCCAACTTGCTGGATATACTCGCATCACGAAACTCATACCGCCACGTTGGCTTCCTCGCCCGCAGGATGCGCCTTCCCTACTCGGCATCATGAGATCCCAGCGGGCCTCACCTTCCCGGGCTCGACTTCAGCTCTTTCTCCTCTTCTGCTGCCCAGTTCATCCATAACCTTCATCGCCAACATCATCACTCACACGCACTCTTCCAAGCCACCAAACTCTACGCTTTCCGTTGTCTTTCACAGTTCACAGTTCACCAAGATTTCACCTAGGGCTCCCTTGCGCGCAGCACCATCGCCAATATGCAGGCCATCCTCCTCTTTTTGATCCTCTCAGTCCCCTTTGTCAACGCATTCTCTTGGGGCAGCGAGAGAAGAGCTGCAGTGGGTATGTCAGGCCGCTATCTTGACCCTCTCTCAATCTCGAAAACGTATCGCTTACTCGAGTCCAGGCCGAACCCCCGACAGGCCATCCAGCCTCCTACACAATTCCAGGCTGCCCAGCATCTACGCCGTCGCCCTCAGCGAGCTCCAAGAACTTGAGTCAGAACCCCTCTGCCATCGCGTGGCCGCCCGGCTGCTCGTCAACAACTGCCAACTCGTCGACGGCAAGGATGAGGCGACCATTCTCACCGACAGCGGCCGCCAGGTCCGCGACTTTGTCGACTCGTACGCTGCGAGCCTGGCCATTTGCGATCTCGAGCGCGGGCGCTTCTCGATCCCCAAAGAATGCGCAAAATTCCGAGAGCCGTCTCTCAGCCAAATCGCGATCCGACACGAAGCGCAGCTGCATGTGAGCCCCGCCGAGATTGGGCTCTGTCTCTCGGCGCTGGCCGCCTCGGACGCCGCCTGGAGCACCTGGGTGAGCTATCGTCACAAGGCGCTGCGCTTCTGCGAGGCTGCGCGAGTAGACAACGAGAAGGGTGAGTATTACTGAGACAATGCATCTCTGGCCGCAACTAACAATCCCACAGCCCAGAACATCCTCCTCTACCAGCGCCTCACCCGCGTCGTCTCCCAGCTCACCGACGGCGTCGAAGCTGAGCTTCAGAAGCGCATGGACGACCTTGACGCACGCGCGTGGCAGTCGGTCGAGAAACTCGAGCAGCTGGCGCCCCAGATCGGCCGACTCGGCGAGGGGCTGGCCAGGGTAGAGAGCTATCTCTCAGGCGACCTGGGTCTCGCACTGAAGAAGACATCCGAATCGTCCCGCGACGGCCTAGAAACCGCCCAAAACCTCCAACATCTCCTCTCCATCCTCCTCGGCAACGTTCTTGAAAACAACGCCGAGCTAGCCTCCGCCCACGAACAATCACTCCAACAAGCCTCTCAGCGCGTAAACAACGACATGGGCACTCTCATCGAAGTCGTCTCCACAGCCCTCGCCTCCTCGACCTCCCTCCAACAACAACTCGTAAGCCCCCCCCGCCCCCAATTCCCCCCACCCCAACCCAACTAACTCACCTTTGCAGCACCTAACTAGCGAACGCACCACGGCCCTCG